ATATAAAAAAGATTAAATAAACCAGCAAACATAAGAAAAGTACGCTAAGTAATATAGATCACGTTTACCAACTTCAGTGTATTATTGTATTAATGATACAATTATAGCGTTGGTGAACGCTGTCGCGCATACCTCGCACAAGATACGCGTGATCGCTTTCGCATGCGGCACGTATGTACGCACACGCGTATGTATGCAAACGCGAAGCGATTGGAAGCGATGTCGAGGAAACGGTGACGGAGCGGGCCTTTCCTTGAGCGAGAACATTGGAGAACGCGCGCTTCGCTACTCTCAGCGATATCTCTCATCGCGTCTCAGCCTGCGAGAGCTAAAAAACTCGTAAGAATCACGTTACTTCGCGCACTTTCACACGGACTTTCATGACAAATCTGGTCTTCCTAGTACATCTTGATTAACATCTCATGGGTGTTCAAAACGTTCATCACAGCTCGCAGTTTACGTACTGAGAAAAAAGTGTATAAAATTTTAATAAATAATTGTTTGAACAGTACTAATATAATATTTATTTACGGAAAAAAGTATTTGCTAAATAAAAAATATAATAGTTAAGTTAAATTGATTTTGTACCAAATAAGTGTATGTTTACATTTAGTAAATATTCAACTGGCACTATTCAAACAAATATTTATTAAAATTTATATTTTTTTCTCAGTGCATTGATAATAATGGGTGTTTCCCAGCAAGAGACGCGGATAAAAGTATAATACAGTGAATGATTTCATCTTTGTTTAATGATAAACAACAATAGAGATCCTCAAGTAAGAGATTGGACATCATATATTTGGTTGGCTATTTTTTTCATGACCTAAAATTAATTATGCACAAGATAAAATGAGATATCCATACATCTCATTTGATCTTACGCATCAGCCTTATTTTATCTTAAGCAGATGAAAAAAATAAATTCTCAAAAATATGGTGGACTAATCAGAAGTTGTCTAAACGGCGCCTAATCTCTTACTTAAGAATCTCTAGAATATAATAATTCAGTGTGTCTATCTCTTGCGGGAAAACACCTAATTTGTGCGTGAGAGTTCTAGAAGCGAAAGCCTTCTGTATACTGAGAAAAAATTCTGGTTGAAAATGAACGAACCGGATTCTGATCATATCAATCAGAATTCTGATTATCTCAATTAGAATTATATTATAGAGAATTATATTATAGATTCAACGAGAAAATTATGATTTGTTTATTTTCAAGATCAGAATTTCAATTAATACAACTATATTCTTTTTCCAGTGTATACAAGTTTTTGCATTGTATAATTTCGCATAGAAAAATATGGCATACGTAGAACGAGACTTCGTACCAGACTACTACTTTTTATTGCAACACTGAATTATGGAGCGTGTCAAAAGCGAAATCTCATAGTTTCATCAATTCTTTTTCGAAAATCATTTTTAGCGCTCGCACTGATGCACGAGCGCGCGTTGCTATTGTTACTTTTAACGCGCGAGTAAATCCCATGCAGTTTCATGTTGCATGTAAGACACGCTTCACGCGACTCCCAGAAGTTACACGAAATTAAATTCGAATACTATAAATGCAGCAAATTGTCAACAGACCGTGAAATTTTATTCTGTTTATCGTGAGAACCGAATCGACATTGAGACGATAAAGATGTCTGATTTTATATTTATTATTACGACGAGAACGTCATTTATTAAAATTTCATTTCTGTTATTATTATGACACGATTGTTCTGTCTATTAATTCGTTTACAATTTTTTTCGCGCACCGCGTAATAGATTATACGGCGGTTCGCCAAGTAGTGACGTATTATTTTGCGGTATTGCATAGAGAAACTACTGGCGAACCTGTTCTATCGAGCCTATCTCTCTATCGAATCTAAATCTTTCGCATTGCAGAGTCGTTGACTTTTTCGCGAATCAATCTCGCTGGCCTCTAATGCTAGATAATCTTTATTTTCAAGATAACGGTCAAAACAAACGGCGTGAAACTGTACAAATTGAATTTCATTCTGCATTGAAAAACTTATTTCAATTTTACATCAAGATTTCAGAAAAAAATTTGTGAGTTTAATTAAAAAATAAACATTACATACATTTCAATTTTTGTAACATTTACATAATTACAAAGTCTTCTATAACATTAACTTACAAAGTTTTGTGCAAGAGCATATGAATACTTTTAAGATAATTCTCGATGCTGAGCTTCTGCCATCGAAATATTTCTATTAGGGCTTTTAAAATATGGGAAGACATTTTTTCTAATGTAATAAAATTTTATTTAAAAAATTTTATTAAAAAACAAATCAGAAATGTTGAGAGTTTAATGTTTATTTTTATATATCTTTAGATCATTTTCATCCATTAGAGCCCAATAATAGTTGCCTAGTATATTTTCATTCTAAAATCTTTGATAATGTTTCTTAATTATCATAAAATCCTGCTGGAGATGCCTTGTTTATCACTTGTATCCAAATTATTTGGATAGAAATCTTATTTAAAAATGATATGCTATATCTAAAAACTGATATATTTGAAAAATTTTGCCTAATGGAATTTTTCTGACAGTAGATTCGAACTCGGCGTTCCAAAATACATTAAAAAAGTTTTCTTGCACTAAAAAAATATTCTCATTAAATCGATAAAAGACTTCAATAAGAATGACATTTTTGTATTTATCACATAACTAATCTATTTGTTATCACAGAAATTCTGTCTCTCCAAAATACCATTCTCCCTTTTGTTTGTTTAATTAGAACATTTTTCTTAATGTACTATTATAATTTTTCATAAGATAGTTTTAATTGTTATTTTGTAACGGGCTCAAGACAACTTGGGTGGGGGAAATGAATTTTCCGATTTTCTTCCGAATTCGTACAAAATATTGAATTTGATAGCAAGAGTAATCTGTAGGAGTAATCCGTATCCTCGATGGACAATGAACATTCAAGGGTCATTAGCTTGACACGGTTTACTAGAATTAATTTATTCCATATGAGGAAGAGCTCGATCATGCAACCGGCACAGTGGTTGATGGTGCGCGTATAGACCTTATTATACGCACAGATGATAACATCCCAGTTGAACGAGAGTAACACGCGATCATCTCCCACGTGGAGGATGTGCGACGGCTATGATGAGAAGTGCACGTTTCTCCAGAGAGAGAGAGAGAGAGAGAGAGAGAAAGAGAGAAAGTCCGCTTCGCCGGGCGGATACGACAAAACTGCGGCAACGAGTCCTCTCATATGTTCATTTCCGAAATTCTGGGTCAAGTTCTTGTTTGTACGAAAAGTAGCTGCTTGCTCGCGACGAGTTAACAATGTTCTTCCTCAATTTCGCTCCGAAGGCGAAAGCGCTTCACGCTTCGAAGATTGACGCGGGTACGTACGCATTCGTCGTAACGGTGACTTTTGATAGCCGACGGATTTCACCTCGAGTCGGAAATCTAGGCAGTTGAATTATTTTTATTAGTGAAAGATCTGGGACTTCGAAACTAAGGAACGTGGCTATAATAGAGACGTCGGTAATAACATTGAATGAATTTTTCAGCTGGGCAGTTTCCACGGTGATGACGAGGCAGAACCTGGTTCCAAGTCCCGATGGTTCACGCATGATCCACGCTTTAATCCCGATGTGGGATATGTGCAATCACGAGAACGGAAGGGTAAGTCATGGAGGTAATGAGCCAGGCGTGAATGAGCAATACGTTTTCTGTCATTACTATAGATTACGACGGACTTCAACGCGACTTCGGATCGCTGTGAGTGCTACGCGTTGAGGGACTTCAAGAAAGGAGAACAGGTGTTCATAAGTTACGGGCCGAGAACGAACTCCGATTTCTTCGTGCATTCGGGCTTCGTCTGCATGGATAACGAACAAGTATGCACATTTATTTATTTAAAATTTATGTATTTATGTAACAAACGACATTAGTCTGTTAGCTAAAGAGTTTAATATTGGAATAACAAACTATGTAAGGCAATTGATGTCTATAATAATATTTTTGCTAGCAAGAGAAATCAACGTCGATGATTTTATCAAAGAATTTATAGCGAAGAGCGAATTTCACAATGCGAATCTCTATACATTATTTACAAAGCCATATCGCAATATGGTATGTTACAGGATGGCTTTAAGCTTCGTCTTGGTATTAGTAAAGCGGATTCTCTTCAGAAAGAACGAATAGAATTATTGAGCAAACTGGATTTACCGTCAGTAGGAGAATTTTTACTGAAACCTGGTACGGAGCCGATCTCCGATACGCTATTAGCCTTCTTGCGAGTGTTCAGTATGCGAAAAGCTGAGCTCACACATTGGTTGCGCTCGGACAAGGTCTTCGACCTGAAGCACGTGGACTGCGCGTTGGAGACAGTCGTCGAGGAGAATGTCAGAAAATTTTTGCTGACCAGACTACAGCTTTTAATCGCTAATTATCCTACAACATTGAAGGTGAAAGTGAAATCTGATGTTGCACCATCTGCCTTTACTCTGCCTTCTCTGTCGATCGCACACGATTAATCAACACAAATATTTTTGTTTTTTTCCATAGGAGGATCTAGAGTTACTGGAGACAACGTTGCCGCAGATGAAAAAAATGGCAGTTCAACTGAGGGTGACAGAAAAGAGAATTCTTTTAGGTGCACTCGAATACGTAGAGCAATGGATAAAGGCTTAAAATCGGCTGTGGTTTGGCGAAGGTGTCGAATACATATATTTATGGTTAAAAGCATCTCGAGAAAAATCAACTTTATTTTTACAATATTTCCGAACGATTTCAAATATAAAAGTAAAATATATAGATATATATATATATAAAATATATATAAAAGTGGACGAATTATATAATGAAGCGTATATTTATCGTCTGTTAAATATGCAAACTCTTCATTTGGTCGACGTGTGTGCGCGTACTAATTATAAGATAAAAATGCATTGTAAAATATATTGAGAATTATATGAATGATCGATT